GGATCAGGGTTGTGTGTCTGTGTGTTGCTTTGTGTCTTTGCTAGGTTGTGTGTCAGTGTGTTGTTGTGTGTCTCTGTCCGTGTGTGTGTTGTTGTGTGTGTCTTTGTGTCAGAATGTGTGTCAGTGTGTGTTTCAGATTTTGTCAGTGTGTTGTGTGTGTCTGTGTGTGTGTGTGTTACATGGTTTTGGTGTGTTGTTGTGTATGAGTGTGTAATGGTGTGTCTCTGTGTGTGTCAGCATGTTGTGTTACGTTGTGTGTCCCTGTGTGTGTTAGATTGCGGTGTTGTGTGTCCCTGTGTGTCAGTGGTCTTCAGTGTGTGTGTCTCTGTCTGTCAGTGTGTTGTTGTTTTATGTTGCGTGTATGTGTGTGTATATCAGTGTGTTGCTGTGTCATGTTGTGTGTGTCTGTGTGACTGTGTGTTGTTGTGTTACTTTGTGTGTGTGTGTGTGTGTGTCAGTGTGTTTGTTGTGTTACTTTGTGTGTGTGTGTGTGTGTGTGTGTCAGTGTGTTTGTTGTGTTACGTTGTGTGTGTGTGTGTGTGTGTGTGTGTGTCAGTGTGTTGTTGTGTTACATTGTGTGTGTGTGTGTGTGTGTCAGTGACCTGCTGTTCATGGACTCTCTGAAGGTTCAAACAGACTCTGAGCTGAATGTTAATCAGTTTGTTTTCAGTTGAAGCTTCTTCTGTTAAACAAACTCTGAGTCTCAGTGTTGTCATGTTGTCATGTTGTCATGTTGTTGTGTTGTTGTTGTTGTTGTTGTTGTTGTTCAGGTGGAGGCGGAGGGCGAGGTTCTGGCCCTGTTCTGTGGGAGGGAGGACTCGGACACCGAGTCGGTTCCGGCTCAGCAGGTCATCACGTCTCCGAGGAACCGGCTGAGCCTGACGTTCACCTCCGACTTCTCCAACGAGGAGAGGTTCTCCGGGTTCATGGCTCATTACAGCGCCGTGGGTGAGAACGCTCAGAAAACCCCAAACTAACGTTGAACAAACCTTTAAACGTTGTCGGTCTGATCACCCCTTCAGTAGTTTCTTCCTTTAATTATTTTTAACGTTGAATCATTGTTTAATTTGGCTTCTTAACAAAAACGTACACAAAAGACTCTTTAATGTCAAAGTGGGGACAGATGAATACAAAGTAGNTCTGATGTTCTGATGTTGAGGCTGTGACTGTGTCTGACTCGTGTGAACCTCTCGTTCCTCTCAGACTCGTCCTGATCTCGCTGCTCGTCTCGTCGGGACTCGGCGATCAGCTGCTGTCCGAGATGTTCGGCAGCCTGCAGTCGCCGAACTTCCCGGAGCCGTATCCGCGGGAGACGGAGCTGCGCTGGAACGTCAGCGTTCCCGACGGCTTCCAGGTCAAGCTCTACTTCAGCCACTTCGACCTGGAGCCGTCCTACCTGTGCGAGTACGACTACGTGAAGGTGATCAGCTTCATTCTATCACAACCCATCGATCAATACACAGAGAGCACAGCAGACGTCCTGTTGTCGTCACCATGGCGACCGTCCTCTCACCCTGACTAGTCCTGGACTAGTCGTCACGTCAACCAGGACGTCTGAGTCTCTCCGTCTGCAGCGCCGCCACACAAACACCTGCTGCACACATTCATATTCAAATGATGTCACTGGGCGCCGCGGCAACAAGCTGCCGCACAAAGAGACCAGCTGATTTCCCACGATGCACCGCTGCATGTCTTAACCCGTCGCAGGCAACACGTTTAGTCACCGTCTAAATCTGATTCACAGAACTCCACAGGGTCCAGAACCGAAGCTTCTAAAGCCTGTTTGAGAAACAGTCAAAGTGTTTCCCTAAAATCTGCCCAGAAATGTCAAAAAAATTCCCCCGGAGGTTGTTAAAACCCCCAAATTTTTTTAAAAAAATCTCTAAAACTGCCTGGTAGCCACTTAAACTCTTAAAAACTAATCGATCCCATAAAATCTCTCCTAAAACTGCTGAAAAGGGCCAAAAAAAGAGCTCAACTCTGTTCAAAACTCTAAACACAGCATCGATTTATGTTAAAATAAAAATAATAATAATCCCAGAAACCAGCATCTAACTGTTTAAAACCTGAGACAAATTACACCAAAACTGTAAAAAACTGGTAAGACTGCAAACAAAATCCCCAAATCTGTACAAATAACTTCTAAAGTCAATAAAACGACTTAAAGAACAAATTAAAATCAGTGAAGTTGCTCAAAAAGCTCCAAAAATGTTGATGTAGGTCCTCACAGAGATGGTAAAGAATGTGGAGG